TCATTAGAAATTGAACCCATTGTACTGATTGTTAGAGTTGTCCAACTGGACTTGGATCAATCCCTCCAACTCTGGAAGAGTTCAAGAATATCCAAGCAAAGAGTTAATGCCCCAATATGTCCGCTGGACAAAAACAGTGCAAGACAATAACACACATGTTGTGTGCGAATGCAGCAAAATATATTGACATCAAGTATTTGATGTCAATATATTTCAGAGAGCTCTGGAAGACCTAGACACAATTAAAGCAGCTCAGTGTGGACAATTTACCAAGTCTTTCCAAATTTGGAGGGAGCAAACCTGGCAACAGAATAGTATCTTGTAATTGGGAATGCCATAGTAACATCTACCAAAAGGAATACTGTTAATGCTGGAATTTATAGCTTTTGCATTGAAATGAAAGAAGTTTCAGTAAATGAGAAATGCTGCATTCAGACCGAATGTGTTTCATGTCAAAAAGGTGTCCAAAGCCTCAAGTTGGACGCTTCATTTCAAGCGTCAGGATTACTCTTTCCACACTTTGCTCAGACGCGGATCTAGAGCGATTGGGAGGAGCCTCTTGACATTTGTTTTCCTCTGCTAGTCTCTTAGTACAATGGCAGAAGAAACTGAGGAGAACTGGGCTTTATTTACTAAAGCAAGAGAACAACGTTATCAAGCAGCTCTGGTCTGTGTCTGGATCTACCGGATAATTCAAAGAAGTTCTGCGTTTGTTGAGTTCCACAACCTACTCCAGGTGCTGTGCGTTGACAAGGGTCGCTTTCGGTGTTATCTTAGTCTCACCCAAACCCAGTTTGATGACTCGCATTGGTGCCCTGCATCTCTTGCCAGGACACCAGATTTTCCAAGATTTTTCCAACTCTAACGTCTGCTGCTTTGGATGGGTTGTACATGCATTAAAGGCTCGAGATCTGAAACGCGCAGTGATAAACACACCGCAAGACTTCTCGACATGCCCTAAATGTGTGACCACCGTCGACTTTGCATGTAATCCAGTCGCCCCTAACAGTCAAATCCCGTTCAGTCTGAACACACTATGGCTTGTTAGCAATTGTGCCTCCGCATTTGGAATCAAACGTATTATCCTCAAAATAATACAAAAAAACCTAAACACGAACTGAAGCCATGAAGATGAGATGTGAATGACCATCCAACAGTTTGTCACGTTTAAAAGAAAATCCATGTGATCAAAGCAGTGAAAACACAGGGCTCATGTCCTTTTCTTATTAACTCTACCAAAGCTGCATACTTTGGTGACATGTGGAAGTTGAACAAGGTTGCTATGGGGAACAAGATCAAAGCATTGAGTGAGCAGAGCAAGTTATCTCCTTCCAAGTATTTGGAATGTGTTTGTGTTTTTTTTCCCTCTCCTTTGGTACCCTTTATCGGCCTTTAGCCGTCGCCACTGTCTCGGCAAGTCTGCGCACTACAGAGGTTATCAACACCTGTGCTAGTCATGCAAGGCAGATCGTCTCGCCGCCTGCCGATACACGGGCTTGATAAATGTTGGAAAATGCTGTGGTCAGGTCTCAAGGTGGATCAAAAGCTGCTGGTGGTGCTGCTGCAGCAGAGGGTGGAGAATCATGGCATAAGCCAGACACACTTGGGTGAACAACTACGCCTGATACGTAGAACTTACAGCCAGGCACACGCTGTAGGGGAATTGGATTAGCTACTGGCAAAGAAAGAGGATTATAAATGTTTGACTTTAAATGTGCTTCTGAAAGATGGATTAACAATAGCCTTCTTATCCGTATTTTCTTTCCTCGTGGAAATATGAATTACTAAGCTGTAATATAATATTCACTGTGTTGAGTATATGGTGTCGTTGTGGGAATTGGCGAAGTGCCAAGCAAAAAGTCGCATCCATTCCTCATAGGCGTGACTGTTATTAAGTTTGGGCTTAATGACAGTAACATAATTGCTAATAACCTCTTTCAGACTGTAGCTTGGTGCTTTGTCAGCGATGACGGAAAACCTACAATGATTCTGCTTTCCTCCATCTACAGGCTTTGCCACGGCCTGTTCTGATTGGCAGAAGTGGTTACATTCCATAAATGGCCATCGAAGCACGGCGCACAACACAGATAAGCATCGAGTCTCCAAAACCGTCTCCGTACAGTGAACACACAAATGAGCCGATGCTATTATCGGAATGCATTTGTGTAGGCAGGAACACTGTAAAACGCAGGCCTGCGCGGACACTGCAATCTGCCAAGGCCAGTCAGTTCGAAAAGCCTGGCTTGTGCATGTGAGCAACAAAATGACACATCAACTCTCATCTATATTTAACCCACTGAATCTCCTTCCAATGTTCTCATCCTTTCAGAGGAAGTTGCCAGGGAGTGTGGTGAGAGAAAGAAGAAAAGAAAAAAAAAAAAAAGCTGAGGTGATATCTAATTACTCTGAATTGATTCATCCTCCTACGTCTCGTCAATGCAACCCACACACTCTGACATAATGAAATACAAGTAAGGCTTGTTTCTGTTTGCAATAAATACTTTAGGTCTAGTTGCTCCTATTTATAGAGTCAAAGGGAACCCTTTACAGGTTGACTCTTGAAACCTGCAGTCACAGAGCGTAAACACCGTATGTGGGTGGCAATCTTGATCTGATTAGGGCTTTTCTTAGTATCTTCAAAGGATAGGTGGGTAAAAAAAAAAAAAAAAAAAGAAAAGAAAAATCACAAACCAGTATCTGAAAAGTCACTTCCTCACCCTGCAGATAGAAATCATTATGAGCGCCCAAGATAAGCTTTTTAGAACAATGTATAAGCTTGGAAACCACCTTACATTCATTACTTTAGATCAGAAGTTCCCAAACTGTGGGGCGTGCCCACTAGGGGGGGGCGCCGTGCCATTGCAGGGGGGGCGCGGGAGCCGTCTGGATGAAAAAAACAAAAAATGAATGCTGTATGCGCTGTGTTTTTACCTTAGAATGGCCAACTCTCTGTTATTCCTATGTCAACTTGATACAGTAGGGGCTTCCAACTTCCCATATCTGTGTCCTCTGTCACTTTTATCAGCAGTTAAAACTGTTTAATCCGTCGTTAACATGTCGTAACCTATTTTTCTGAACCGCCTTTAAATACAACATGAACGCTACGACACTCGCGCTGGGTTTACACCTGTGAAGGAGACCTGCTGCTGCTGCTGTGCGGAGCTACGTAGGTTTGTGTTAGAATCACGGCAGCAAAACGCAAATGTCAGGATTGGTGGTTTGTTTTGTTATTTTTGGAAGCCTGCTGCTTCCCACTTCCTCCACCAGATGCCGCCTAGGAGCAGAGCCCCTGGAGAAGCATGTGGTCGAACCCAGGGACACACCTGTGGCGCATTACCCAACTGAGGCTGGGGATATTTAAGAAGCGGCGAGCTGACACTTCCTTGCCTGAGTGTTTGTTTACCTCGGTAACAAATCGTTCCAGAGTAAGGCCCTCTGAGCTCTTCCCGAGATAATCGCCTCCTGTGTTTTTTCCTTTGTCAGGTTTACCTGGATCCCTCCGGGGTTTTTCTGAGAAAAGAGTTCCGTGGATCGTTTTCCCGGACCGCCACCAGCCGCCAGCTCGTTCCTCCACTCAGCCTGACCTACCTGTCCGCCCTCCAACGGTTCGTTGCCTCTCCACGCCACCCCTGGGTCTTTCTCTGCTTCCAAGAGAACTCCTGTCTGCTCCTAAGTAAGCCGTCTTCCCCCCTCAGTACAAATATTCATCCACCTCTCTGGATTCGCTGATGCTAACCGCTTACTCTCGTTGACAGTGGCTGTACTGGTTATCCCTCCCAGATTCCTGCTCCGTGTTTTTTCCCCAACCCTTTCCCCTTTCAATAAACTTCATTATTGTTTTTGCACACGCGTCTCCTGATTGTGTTCGTGCATGTGGGTGCGTAAACTGGAACCCAACATGACAGCAAAGAACTTTTCACAGTTTTTTCCCCAAACTAACCGACTGTTGAGTAAAGCTGTTGGATGCAGGTAATGTTAGCTAAAAGATTACTAGCTAGCTAATATCAATACAGCACCTTAAGCTTAACAAGTAGCCTGTAGGCTACTGATGTTGTTTATGTTCAGCTACGTACATTCATTTTGCCCCCCACCCAGTTCTTAGAGACAGGGAGTCTCTAAGAATCCTCTCTCTCCCCCTCACACGCGTCGTTCAACCAGACAGCCATTTGTAATCCATAGGGGGGGGGGGCCCAGAAAATCTTTGGAAATCACTGGGGGGGGCGCAGGAGAAAAAGTTTGGGAACCACTGCTTTAGATAAAGAGTTGACTTTTCTGTCGCGCCAAGATTCTCTACCAATCTATAAAAACTTCAGCATGTGATAAAAAAAAAATAAAAATTATCGCAGGCTTTCAGTTTAGATTGTCTTGCATGTTTCTGACCGCATGTCAAAGCCCTAAAATACGAAGTCAGGCAGCCTGGAGGGTACAGGCTTGCTGTACCCTCCAGGTAGCATTCAAAATACAAACGGGGGAAAACATACATTAAACAGATTTTATTTAAAAACAGGGACAAATGTGAGTTTTTGAACAAAGAGCAAGAACTATACTTATACCAGGCCCAAAGGACATGAAAGTCAAACATATTTCGCATACAAAAAAATGAATAAATGTTTCTGGTACAGCTGCAAACAACAGCGATGGACGGCAAAGTCGCTTCTCTTTACCCGAAGGGGCTTCATATTTGCTTCAAAACACAAACTGATGGGATGATGGAAACGATTATTGTTGTTGTCCTGCTCATCACTACTTATTCCAAATCTTTGAGCTTATTCGGAGAGTGACAGAGAAAACAACACGAACTTCAGAAACCGAACCATTTTACTGTATGGAGGTGAATTCCTGGAAACTGTTTGGGAATGTGTTGGTGTTAGCTGAAGAGGAAGAGATTACTTTTAAAAAGTACCAAACTTGTTTTCTACCAAAGTGAAAGCGAAACCAATTGAACTTGTTTTCCCATAAAGGAAGGGTGTGCCAGCATGTGACTGGAATTGCCAACTCACCTGTTTTTTTCCAGTTCATTGTGTGTCGACCTGCAGAAAAAACATAAAGAAAGAAAACATAAGTGGAGAGTTCTACACAAGCAGAGAGTGAAATACAGACGGTACATTTTCTGAAAGAACCCAGTACAGTCCTGAACAAAATCTTAAGGGCAAGGGAGAAAGGAAGGGATAAAGTATTGACATTTTGCATGACAAGATTACAAGTGCAGCTTCAAAATGCAAAAAAGATAAAAAACAGGATAAAAAAAACAAGCCATTATGTCTTAGAACATGGGAGGCTGCTGAGCCAATGCTGTACAGGTTTGACACAATAGTAGTTATTTTATATTTCCTAAAAGATACACAGGGTCACAAAAAGTAAATGGCTCTGAGTGAAAGCATCCGGTGGGGTGTCTGTTATTTGTTCTGTTTCTTCCTACCATTTCTTCTTCTTCTATTCCGAGGCTCAACTTACAACCTCGTTACGATCCAGCAGCGCAAAGTGAAAACACTTGTGACTTTTCCCTCTGGTCTCAAGACTTTAATCAGGAAAGTATGCAAAAGAACATCTAGTTGTAATCTGAGAATAGGTATACGAGGTCGGCAAACACAGACTCAGATTTGGGACGTGAAAACTGGCCTAGACACTAATAAAGCCAACATACAGGAGACCTTACATGAGCAAATATTAACATGACATCCAGGCATTCACTGCAGCATCATAAAGCCTCTTACTGAACAACGCACAACAGAGCTCTTTGAGGACGAGTGTGACATTGAAGGCACTTATGTTTCCTCTGAGTAGAGCAATACAGTGTGTGTGCATGTGGGCAGCTGTAAGCATGCGCGTACATACACACACACAGCAGCATCCAGGGCTCAGTCCCCTGTTAATGATGCAAAGTGAATCAGCTGATGCCTGCGAGTGTCTTTGTATGGAAACAAACTGAAAGGAGTCCAGGCCTCCGCCTGATTCCTAAATGGCCAACTTCCCCCCGGACACACAAACTACACCCTGCCTCCTCTGAATGAGGCTCGGGTTCATGAATGCAGCATGACGTGTAGATTGATGCTGCAATTCATTCTCCAAATCCATTTTTTTTTCTTTTGTCTGATGATAGTATGTTTTTTTTTTGTTTGTTTTTTTTTTTACTTAGGTACACATAAACAAAACGGTAAGAACAGAAGTAATACGTTGCCAGGAAGGAAGAAAAAAAATATCATATTCCTTAATTTCCTTTGGTCTTGGATGCTGCGCAGCTGGAAGAAATAATACTTTTTCTTTTTTTTTTTTTACTTTTGTACACTTGTTATGATGCGTAACGGTGGCAACAAGGATTTGTTTTTGCAACTGAGAGCAACTGATTAGAATCTCAAATAGCCTCATATAATCCCTGAACTATGACCCCAAATGCCAGAAGAGTTTAAAGCGAGGCTTTGTGGATGCAGGTAAGGACCAAAGAGCAGAAGAAGGAGAAGGAAGTTCAAACCATCTCTTCTAGGACTGGATCTATTGTGATTAATCTATTATAGCAATAATCACCACCAAATTTACAATTTATTCATCGATTAATTGTCAACTGGAGTATACAGACTCTAAAAATGGCCATTTGCAGAAAGAACAACACAGTCAGCGCAGTAATTTAGACAAAACCGCACAAAGATATACACTTTCAGCATTTGAGAAGAAAACCTTCTTTGTCTGTAAATATGTTCAGTCGTACACTAAAGGACTGCTTCGTTTCCGCATTTTTTTTTCTTATTTATAAATGTAGTTTAATCGTTTTCTTATTTGTATCTTTTAATGCATCTCTAATGCTATGTTAAATGAAAAGCCTGCAAAATGTGCCAATATTTTTATCCAATTAATCAATTAATCATCAGAATATTCTATAGCATAATCAATTGCTAAAAATAATCATTGGTTGCAGCCCTAATGTCTTCCATCCAACCATCCAATGGGCAAGGATTATATCCTCGACTCCGACGTCTCTCTGCCCGGCTTTCTAAACACAGCGCCAGTCAGAGATTTAGAGAGGAGCGGCAAGAACAAATGAGGTGGATTAGTAGTGCTTGCAAACAACTGGTTGTGTCATCCAAGACTCGTTGCTGTGGAAATTGATTTGTTAGCATGTCATGACAGTCATATAGCCACAGTATGTAGTTAGAAGCGTCTTCAGATTCACTGCAAGACTGACTGCTACTGGAGACCCTTCCTGCCCTCAGCATCACCATCCACAACGACTCATTGAAGGCACTTGGATGATATGAGGTGCAACAACATTTAATTTCTCTACAGGATAAATAAAGTATTTTGGATTTGAATTGAATTGAACTTTTTCCACTTCTCTTTCACGATTCTGGGCCAGGCACCCATCCGTACAGGTCAGGAAAGAGAAGCAGCCAAGAGACATTGTTGTAACTCAGGAGCAGCAGACATCTTGAAATTGTTGTCCTTCACAAATCGAGTCTGCATGGAAGCACGTCAAGAAGACAACCAAAGAAAGGTTTCTGAAGCTGGTCAGAGTTCATGGGAAGAAAAATTCAGCTTGCGGCGAGGCCGCTGATAAGTCTCTGGATGTGCACATCAGGTGGAAACACGCCTCGAAAGTCTTTCAGCCAAAAGTGCTTAAACACTAAGGCAGGACACTCAGATTTTTGTTTGCAAAATTATTTCACAAACCACAAATTGTTTTTTCTGAAATATAACGGTAGTTCACTGCTTTGTGTTGGTCTTCTATCGCAGACAATCCCTCGAAACAAACATTGATGTTTGAGGCTGTAATATTACAAATATTTAACAAAAAAAAAAAAGGTCAGAGTGAAATATTTTCCTTCTCTTTACAATAGAATAATAAGGCCTCTATAGTTACTATTGTGCTCAAGTGACAACAGACTGCACACGTCAACATTTACGACAAGTAAAAGGAGCGGCAACATACATTAGTCACTGATAAGCTGCTAATTGTTGTTTACCTGAAACTCTCTTAAGTACCTGAACTAAAGGTTTCCATTTGCATCAACAATATTTCAGTGGTCATGCTTGGAAACTCCCAACTACAAAACATTCAGTCAAACACATCAGAATCAAAAATAAGTTAAGCTTGCCAAATGTTTTCAGAAAAATTCCACTTTTAAAAAGGGACCATGTCTGCAGATGTGTGTATCTGTCAGTCCGCCAAACCGAAGATGAATGAATGAGTGTGTAATTTATTTATCTATTTATTTTTTCATCATTTGCGTCAATAGTTGTCAGCAGCATTTGGGTCGCTTAGTAGCCCTGATCCCCTTTTAGCAGGACAATTAAAACGTGTTTTTTCACAAAAAGAAATGTGTTTGTTTTCAGCTCATTACTGCTCTTTTAGGAGTAAAGAGCAGTGTTTTCACAGGACATAAACACATTATGGGAGCAATTACAGCATGTCAAGGAGAGTAGCTTCCATTCTGTTAAAACATTCATCAAAACAGGACGCTTATGCAAACTGAATATTATGTTAGAAATAACTTGTACGACGGAGCATTGGGGTCAGACTAAGAGTTTGTTTTTTCAATATTACGGGAACAAAATCATAGAACTGGTAAGACAAAGACATCATTTTGCTTGATAGTTATCAAGATCTGATTTGACCAGTTCATCTTGTTCATCATTGTTTCTTCCAAATAGACAGAGTGATTTGCACAATTGTTTTAATGTCCTGCTGCTGATAATAATTTGATGCGTATGTGTTAAAAGATTAAATATGTCCAGTTTGTAAAACTGATACCAAAAATATAACTTTACAGGATGCTCAACTTTCCATATTTTAACTTCTTATTAGTTTTTGTGTTGGAGCTACGACTTTATTCTGGTAATACTAAAAACTTTTTCTTATATTATTTAGTCTTTAGTGTCATACGACTTTTTCATTGTGTTATTTCAACTTAATTTCATAAAAGCATGACTTTTGTGTATTCTGGTAACATTATGAATTTATTCTCTTATTATTACAACTTTTTTGTCATATTATAACGACTCTGTTCCCATAAAATCATTTTGTTTTGTCGTACCACTTTATTCTTGCATTATTGCAACTTTATTCTGGTAGTATTGTGACTTAATTTTTGTACAATTCCGACTTTATTCTTGTATTATCATGACTGTATTCTCGTAAAATTATGAGTTTATTCCCTTGTGACGTTTTCCCCCTAATATTATAACTTTTCTTGTAATTTAGTTTTATTGTTTCTCAGTCTGGCCCTAATACTCCAACCGTAAGTATCCACTGCAAAAATCTAACTACGTAACTTTAGTCACCAACCAGTGTGACCAACCAGTCCTGACACAAACCCCAAACATCATAAAACACGGACGGCCACAGCTTATCTTCGTGTGGCCTCTTACTTAAAGAAAAACAATCAAAGTTAGATTACTTTCTCACAGGGATTTATAATCAGAAACCATTTTCCTTGCATCCTGACTGACAATATCTGAATCTCCAGCGCAGGACAACAAAAGCAGCAGAGATTATAAAGTGGCTCAAGGCCAGACATAACAGCACCAGGCGTCCTCCTGCGGTCTTGTAAGTGTGCGTGCATGTGTGCGGGTGCGCACGCCCGCAGAGTGGGTCAGCGAGATAAAGCATCCCTGCTATAAACGGCAGGCGAGAGAGGACAGAGTCAGATAAGCCTGTGGCTTTAAGCCTCAACCCGCTACCGAGGAGGCAGCTGCAAACTGGAGAGCAAACGAAACATGCACGATGAGTTTGAATTTTAAGGTACGTTTTGGAAAGAACATTTAGAGCTGCAGCTCACAATCACTTGAGTAATCAGTTACTCTGACGCTTAATCGAGTCGTCGAATAAGAAAAATGACGCATTCTGCTGATTTTTCATTTAGCACTTAAGCATAGTTTTTATAGAATTTTACAAGTATGTAAGAAATTCAGACAAGTAAATCACTCAATTCCTTTTTTTAAATGAGAAAATAAACATTTTAATGCTTAAAATGTGACATCATAGCATGCCTTTAGCATGTGCTTGATTATTTGTAGCAAAGGATGCAACTAGAGCTAAATAAATATAAAATAAATACTTAAATAAGTCCTTTCTACATCACTTAACACCAATACAGAGTAGGGCTGTTCTATTTTTTTCAATTAACGAATTAATAAGACAATTTTACGGAACGTGAACCAGGTGCAGCTTAAACTAGGGCACTCGAGGAGTTTTAGGTAGAAAATATATACAGACAAATGTTGTTGTTTTTTTTATCTTAAATGCAAAATTTATACATTTTTGTACAAGTACTGCTCTGATCGTGTTGTTTTTCTCAGCAAATTGCCTTTTTTTGAGTATGTATGCTCCAGCTGACGATTAATCGATTGCTAAATCAGTTGACGATTATTTCAATAATCGATTCATCGCAACCGTTTCCGCCCTAAAGTGTACGCTATCAACCTCTCCAAGAGGACAACCTAACCTTACTACTGCTTTAGGGGAGGAAGAAACAATACTTTGAAGAATGAGGTGTAGCTATATTATGAAGGTCCATCACAGCTACAGGTCATCAGTGAAATAAACATACATTGTCTTTGCTATTTATATACAAAACAGCCCTGATGAGTCAGGTGAAGGACAAAGGGCATTTCCACTGTCCTTCTGTTGATACGTGCAGGCTGTGAGTGATCTATCAAGTGTTAAAAGAGCGTCCACACGAAGGTCAGGGGATGAGTTTTCAGAGCGCAGCATTGCATCCTAACAAGGTGAGCAAGTGTTACTCCCTCTATCCGTCAACAGTCATGAAATTATGGTTCGCCTGCGGAGACAATCCCAATTCAATTCAATGGGAGGCGCTTCCGCAGTTTGAAGTCAGGCTTAGATGATTAATCAAACTAATTGTGATTGATCGAATATTGAAATAATCATCAACTAATTCAGTAATCGATTGTTACCTGGAGAGTACAGACTCTAAAAGAGGCCATTTGCTGAGAGAAAAACACAGTCAAAGCAGTAATTAAGTCGGAACTGTGCAAGTCTTTCATTTACGATGCAAACATTTAAGCTAGAAGTCCTCGAGCTTCACCTGGATCAAACTGTGTAAAATAAAAAATCTCCTTTTTGCTATCCATTTATTATTGCAAAAGATGATCAACAGATTGGTAGGCAGTATTTTTTAGCTGCAGATACATCCTTTGCTACAAATGATCAAGCAATCGTTAAAAGAAATTGCATTTCAGGCAATAACATTTTTATCTTCTCATCTAAAAAGGTAATTGAATTGTTTGCTTATTTGCATTTTTTGTGTATTTCTAATATTGTGTAAAAAAGCTTAAGGGGTTAAGAGAAAATCCTGCAGAATGTGCCACATTTTTTTTTATCCGATTAATCGATTAATCGCCAGAATTGATTACTAAAATAATTGTAATCTGCAGCCTCTTTGTGGAACTCAAGACAGGAATAAAGTGAGCTCCATCCCAACATGCAGCTCTAAATGGTATTAGGTAGAAAGCCTGTTGATCTAGAGTGACCTATGAAAATATTTTCACGGAGAATATTTTCTAGAGTATTCCTCGCTTTGCACAACACCATTTTTGCTTGGTACTGATATTTTATTTCCACCAACAGCTGATTTTGTCACTTCATCACAATCGCTCCAAATAAATACAACTTAAAGGGCAAATTGTGTTGAGGCATTCCTACATATGTCTGGGTTTGTTTTTTTTTTTCATCCCGAGCGCCATAAATAGGGCCGCCGACTTCTGATCATGACTGTTGCCATGCAGAGCGAGGCAGCATTCAGCGCTCGTGACGAGTAACGTGCAGCTCCTGTTTGTGGCCCCGTTCTCACGTCAATATTAAAAGGCTCAGAAGGCAATCGGAGGGGGGAGCTCGTGTTTGATGTGGGACTGTTAATGGGCAGCGTTATGTATGTATGTAAGCAGGAGGAGAGGATGTAATGCCAGCAGGAGAGGAGGTAGTGGAGGCGGGAGTTGACATGGAAGATCCATTTCTGCATCCAACTACAGGTTCATGTCTTGGAGTGGAGAAGAGGCTTATGTTGGAACTAGGCATGAGTTACGCTGACAGCTTAAGGTCGTTTTAATGAAGCATTGTTTTCTCTTTCTGCCTCGAACATCCTCAGCGATGCCCCTCCTCTATATGTTTCTGCACACAGCACATAAGCTAGCTGAAAGAAAGCAATTAACCCTTCCCAACAAGAAAAATCTGGGAATTTTCCCCTAAAGCTAACACCATAAGTAGCAACACTATGTCAGTGGTGAGTAGATGGTAATTAACAGCTAACATTCGCATTAGCTTGACAGCAGGGCATAATTACAATTAGAATGACAGTAAATGAATGTCACCAGAGCTTACTATAAGTGAGCAATATGTGATATTATTTAGCAGTGATTGCAATAATAATTTGCTTTTATGATTAATTAGTTTATACATTTTTGTTTTATTTTTATTTATTCTTTTTTTTTTTTTTTGACAGGATGAACCAATCAGGTTTTATGTAGCTGATACTGATTTAGGGTTTGTTTGTTTTTTTTTTTTTTAGGTCTGACTCAGTTCTCTTTTTTTTTCTTCCACTTTTCAAGATATATGAAAGAAAAACAGTTTGGCAGGTTAGACAAAGTCAGTAGTTTCTAATACAACTAAAAACAAATGAGTTAAGACTATTCCTGCTACTGTAAATGAGTTTATGAGTATGTGATTTTTATTGGCCATAAAGAAATAAAGAACTGTTTTTGCTGATTTGTCACTATTCAAAATCATGATCAGGGGAAAACTGCCTGATTCCAATCATTGGCCGACTGACTGATAAGATTTCTATAACCACAAGGGCTCCACATGGTTCAGTGTTAGAGCAGGCGCACCATATACAGAGGTTACACAGTCCTATGTCCAGGTAAGGTAAGGTAATTTTATTTATATAGCCCATTTTCAGCAACAAGGCAATTCAAAGTGCTTGTTTCAGATCGATTTTTTACATGTCTTCCCCTTTCTCTCTCTGCCCTTCTTCCTGCCTTTCTACTGTTGAATAAAGGCCACTAGTGCCCCAGAAACCAAAGAAAAACTAACAACAAAAAAAAGAAAAAGATTTTCATACCATATCAATCACAAACTGACCCCTGCTCAGTAAGAACCTTACTGGGAATCTTACCTATATAAAGTCAAGGGCAGGACAGTTTCGGAGAAACCAGAAGTTTCTCAGGCTCTAGGTATAATATTCTTTGTAATAAGTGCATTAAATTCATTCATTATTATTACATTCAATTATTATAGCTGTAACTGGTGCTATGTTGTCATACTTTTGCAGCAGTGCATATTAGTGGTGCTTTCTTGCTTTATTTTTAAACTGAATGTTATCATACTTTAAGGATTACGCCTATATAATTAAGAATGTATGTGGTGGCTGTACAGAGTGGTTGGATCTAAGGTTACGTTTTCCTTGTTAGTCCTTCACAAGCAAATCTCGTGACAATAAAGAAACTTAAGGCGAAAGAGAAAGTAAGAACGTTAGGTAATCTACCAAACATGTATGAGCACTAATACACAAAAGTCCTTTTAAAATGATGACTGAAGATTTAGACATTATTCAAAGTAACGCTGCAATATTGTTACTTCTGAACTCACTTTTAGCAAGATCTCTAATCTGGATCAGGAAGTCAGTTTGACAATCAGCTGATGAAACGCTGCTTACATCACACGTGCCTTCCTATGAGTAATGAATCACTCTACACTTATTTTGCGCTACCAGAAGGGGGGGAAAAAAAAGGGGAAAAAAAAACAAAAGCCGACAGAGATGATATTCTTACCTGTTGTGGTTGCTACTGAACTTTTTATTTCGGAACTTCCTCTGCCTCTGGTAGTTTGTGCTCTGGTTTAAAGGGAAGGTCGAAGCATATCCATGTTCGCACTCTGAGGACAGAAAACCAACGGTTATAACTGACAGCCGCGGCTCTACACACACAGAAACCTGCTCTCCATACACTTTTTTACAGGCAGTTTAAAATATATCAACACATGTCACCTCTTTCTCTTCTTTCTATGTACTCCGCTGCCTCCAATAACCGCTGGATATTTATTAGCTGGACATCGGTCATTCTTCCCTGAGGCTGTCTGCCGTTAACGTTGAACTTCGCAAACGGCAGGAACGCTCGGTCGCTTTTTAAAATGTATTTATTTACGGAAGACAGTACTGCATCTAATGGATCTGGATGAAAAAAATACACCTTACTGACCTATAGAGAGCTTTTCTTACGAGCTCTAATAAAAATGATGGTACAAAAAGTCCAATCTTTCCGAGCTAGCAAACTACTACTAACAACCCTCAGTTTTTTAAATCTTGTTAGAAAATGTTAGTACCCGTGTATCAAAGGAATATTGTTTCTAGAAAACAGGATATCATTTTTTGTTTTTTTTACAAAAAGAGATGTGAATAGAAAAGTGTCCCTAAATGAGCCAGAACCCAGCAAAGCGTCTGCTGCTCGTTTCTTCTCCTCTCCTGTTTGTTTACCTAGCCGCTCAGCTGGGAGGCGGGAACTAAGGAGGGGCTTGAGTGAGGTAGGCTGGTTTAAACGCGGTGTAGTCTGGGACATTGAGTATTTTAGTGCATTTGCTTTAAGCTATCATTTGAAGTTACAAGTCGGACTTTTTCGGAGTAAAATTAACAAAATGTATTTAGATATATTTTTATCACATTTATAATAAAAAAATATATCTGAACTATTTTTTTTATTATAAATTGATAGTACAAATTGAGATAAGGGGTAAGATTAAATAAGCATTCACTTCTACCTACTCTTTTCTCAAACACAAAAGTAGTAGTAGTGCACATGTTACTACTTTACCATACCATACCAACTTTATTTATAAAGCACTTTAAAACAACCACAGCTGATACAAAGTGCTGTACATTAAAACACAACATAACAATAAAAAAAATACTAGATTTTTTTTAACCCGTTTGAAATAAATGAATAGAAAATGAATTTAGATGCTTCATCATGTTCTGTTGTAAATCACAATTTCACTAAGATAAAATTTATGGCCAAGATTTTAAAGCACAGTATGGAGCATCAAAAGTGACAAATTCTGATAAACAAATGGATGTTGCACATAAAAATAACATTGGAGATACATGCATTAAAATATTTTAGGGGATTTATCATAAATGCATTTAATGTGTGAATTTATTAATGAAAAATGAAAAATATGGTAGTTATAATTGAAATCTTCTTATGGTACCAAATTATTAATTTTTTTATGACTCTCAGTCATGTGCTACAGCACATCATAAAATAATTTGCAATGAGGAGGTGTGAGCGTTGATGAGATTATTAAAGACAACACAATAAATCAGATGTTAGGATACCCTATTCTTTGCCTAAGCTATAAACTACATTTCAATTCTGACATTTATTTATGTGTTTTCTTAAATACACATATTAAATTATAGATTATTTATTTTTAATATCGCCACTTGTTATAAATTATATCACGGAACATGTATTACATAACGTTATTTACTGGATTTTGGCTCTTTGGCATGCTACACCTTTGGATATGAAAGTTTGCTTTTGGAAGGGTTAATGTTATCTTATTTATCTAAAAAAAAATATTTACAACAAATATCAAATCAAAGAGAAAAACTGATCATGGTGGGCTGTTGCATTAGTAATAAACGATATCTAAAGAAAAGCCTACATAATAGCATGAGTTATGACTGAGCAACGAGGATTAAAAGACAAAGAACTCTAAGTCCCAGACTTCACCGGGGCGGTGGGAGTGTTTTTCTCGGCTTAAGCCAGGCCCAGCAACACGTGACATCATAGACGAGCACAAGCCTGATTGGCGGACGACTTTGACGGACGTGGAGGGCTTAACCCGCAGCTGACCAACCGCGGCAGAGATTTGCGCCATGTGGAAGGCACTGCGACACGCCCCCAAATAGCAGGAAGCAAACAATTGAGAGAAGAGCTGTCTCCAGCGAGGTGATGAAAATTCCCACGTTACAACTAGGGGAAAAAGTGCCTTCTCATGCGCGCAGCCCTGGAATTATTAATATTTCTGCGCTGAACGCAAAGCAACTCTTGCAGAGTCACGTTAAAATGCAAAGGCATGTCCAACAAATCATGCCCGATTATAAGGACATATTATATTTTACAATATGCATTGTTCATACTGTAGTATTATTATTTAATTAAACGCCACCAGATTACTATCACAAAGGCCTGAGTCTTCGTGCATACCGAGATTTTCCGTCTGCAGAAAGTCTCATAACTTATTTATAGTTGCATAAACGCTTCCGAGATGGGGAATCTGACACGTCAAACCCAGAATTACACGTACCTTAAAACTCACTTGCGTTCACTGTGTATTAAACTAAAAAAACAAAAAACAATTCTGTTTTTGCCATATATGGCCCCCTATAGAGTCTGCGGGGGCACAATGACATCATCCTAAACCGAGCCCCGGAGGACGCCGCAATGTGATCAGATTTTATTAGAACATTCATACACACCTAAACATCATCGAGGTCTATGTTGTACTTTAGCTGTGCTGCAGGGAAAATTACTGATCCCTGTTTTTTCAGAGTTGCAGAGGCACGCAGCGACGATGCCTGCTGCGGATAACACACAGAAACAGTCTAAACATGAATCAAAGCACACATTTTTTTTTCTCTCCTCAACCCCCCCTCTTTTCCTAACGCAAAGATTAAATCGCACGTATTGCCCGTGCAAACCTGCCCCAGGCTGTGCTTATTGCAGACAGTGGTGCACGAGTTGCATGAACTCAGCCCTTTGTTGTCTGAGACTGTTGACAATGAGGTGATTTTTTTTTTTTTTTTGTCCTCCTGAAATTCAGATGAACAATGTAAAGGCAGGGATTAAAAAAAAATAAAAATAAAAAATGAAAAATAGCAGCAGAGATCAACTCACTTCCGTCCTTGCGCTCGGCGCTCTCCACAATCCTTGCAGCATCCAGTAGCATCTGAACGTTTTTCAGGAAAGTGATCTGCTCCATGTGGGAGTCTTTGGAGTTGAAGACGTCATTGAAAGCGCAGCTGGACATGTCGAAATCTTGCTGATCCAAGAGGGATGCTTCCGAATCAAAGAAGAAGTCGTCACTCTTCAAACTTCGTCTTTGCCTCTCAGTTTTGGCCATTTTTTCCCCCTTATCTTCTTCTTCTCCTTCTTTTCTTTCTTTCCTCTCTCTGGAGTTTTAGCGCTTTCTAACGACGTGCAGAGCGCTGAAAGGAGTGCGGTGCGGCAGCAGGAAGCAGTTGGGGTTGCTCTTGTTAGATGGTTTCTCGTTTCTTTCTTTCTGTTTTTTATGAATGCAGGGTGTTTAATGTGGCCAATGTCAGTGGATGCTGGTGCATGGGAAAGAGGAGGAGGGCGGCCCCTCGGTGTCTGAGGAGTCCGCATGGTCCCTGTGCCCGGCCTCTGGAATTGTCTGTGACTTTTTTTTTTTTTTTTTAAAGCAAATTTTCAATACTGTAAAATAATAATAGTATGGAACAAGTCTGGATATATTAACGTCAGGTCAACAGTTACAGTGACAAAAGTGAATTATTGACCTGCCTGCTATTTAGTTTATAGCAACAAGAAACTACCTTAATAACAAGCCAGTTTAGTTTAGTAGCTTTTGTGGTTATTTTGGTTGCATGGAAGAAATTAGCACATTTTATTGTCCCAACCCCCTGAAGCTTTTAACATTTTTGCTACATTGCAACCACCATAAAAAAGGAAGGACTTTACAGTTTGAGGGAAAAGTGTGAATTTAAAATGTTAAAATTCTGAACCACAAGAAAAACCTTTTTATGTGAGTGGGTGGGAGGAAGCTGTGGAATGGCTTAAGCATCCAAACAGTTTAAAATATCATTTGAGGTCATCACTGCGTACCAAGTTGAGAAATAATTAGTACCATTACAGCTATCAATCCTGTTATTGCTGCTTAATAAAGTTGTCGACTATTACAACAACATTATGGTGTTGTAATATAAAGAGAATTTTAACATGATAAAAATTATATTTACAGACTTGCCGACTCATTTTCTTGAGACTTTAATGAACAAAAGAAGCTAAAGCACACATTTAAAAGATTCCCAATTTACACTTATTTTCTATGAACTATCAAAATGGCAAAACAGTAATTAAGAAGAAAAAACTTCTTTACGTTTTTTAGGAAATTTTTTTTTTTTTTTTACTTCACAAAACATTTGTACAGAAAATAAATGTCAGATAAGTTTTAAATTTCAGTGTGAAATTATCCAGTGCAATAAAAGATTATTGTATTTTTAAATAATAATAATAATTAAAAAAAAAAAAGATTTCTACTAGAGGCGCCAGTGAATGCAAAGGGCCCTGTGTATAACATAATTTATTACTTTCTGATTTATAATAAAATTCCTCATATGAGCCTTTCTTACCTTACATATACATAAAACCACATACTTACGTTTATATTTACATGTGTCGTTTGGAGCACATGCAAACAACACGTGGCCGGTTGGATGTGAGATGAGATAAATCTGCTTTGATGGGTTGGAAGACTATTTTATTGTATATTTCTATGGATCATATTTGAACAACAAGCTGCAGGACTGGTGGAACAAACATGTATATGCAGACTGAGGGCAGAGGTTATGCCTGTATTTTCTTTTCTTCTCATCATTAGTGTCGGTACCGGTACTTGGTCTTTTTGTGTTTTTGAAACACATGCTGCCAAACCTGACATGACTAGTCCAGACAAAAGACTAGGTCCTGACAGAGGAGCACAAAGACGTCACTGTAGCATCAGATGCACCTGCATCCGACGAAAAAAAAAAAGACAAAAATGTCACTCAGAGGTGCGTTTGTTTTCCTTGATCTCGTGCCATTTCCAGTAGACCTTTTGATGGGTTGCCGCATTGGGGTCCGTTTTGACACAGAACACGTTGAGGCACAGCCCTGTGTTAAGTCCTGACAAGCCACCCTAACCACCTCCCCACCCACTTCAACCCGCCCTCCTACCCCTGCTCTCCTTTGCCACTTCAAAGGGGCTGGCAGCGGCACATATTCGTTTGATGTAAAGTTCACAGAAGCAGAAACTTTCAAGTCCAGCGCGCGCACGGGGGGAATCTCTGAAGGTCTCTCCTTCTCCTGCCCCTTCACCTCCAAAGCCTCAGTGAGGGGCAACTGTGGAGGAAGGAAACCCCCTTGAGTTCTTGGCCTATTTTAGACTGCAAAACCTGCTAGCACCCGCTCACGTCCAAATCGGAGGATTTTGATGAGCGGTCTCTCTAGGATTTCAACCCAAACATCCCTGCTTAGATCACAAGGCACCATTAGAAAGCTCAAGTATCTTAAGTGGTAAGTGCGAGGTGTGACGAACTCTGAAAATTTGATTACAGTATTTACGATCAAGTCTGAGAGCCACGAGGCAGGAGAATTAAGGAACTCTGCACAACACGAGTCACGTGTCCCAGAGGGCAAACACTGGCAACAGTGGGAAAGTAAAGATTTATGAGAGACCACTGCTTCAGGGAGGCATGTCC